TTTCACCGTTACTATTTGGATTGAATTTTGATAGGCCTCACAGCATTGCAGACGATAAGTTCTTGTATTGACAAAATCACCACTACCCCATCTACCTTTTATATTATCTCTTATATTTTCTTTTTTATGGTCTTTATTGCATATAGGGCAGGTCGTTGAACAGTCAAAGTAATCGCTATTCCCGGTACTATATTTTAAAGACAAATTTTGAAACTGTTCCAGTATCATTTTGATAACATAATTTTGTTTCTCTTTCGAGTCTTCAGGTAAGATCGAAATCGAAGGTCGGGATTTATTAGATATATTTACATTGACTTTTGTATCACTTACTACACTTATCTCAGTTTCAATAGGTGCACTTACCTCGATTTCTGGTAATTTTGACTGTGCCAACTCTGTTGATGAATCGTTTGAGCTAGATAGATCTGACATATGCGCGTTCTTTTTCGGAACGCCGATCACTTTTGTCAAGAAAAAATAATAAAGCTCGCTGATATATTTATTACAAAACAATGCCTCTACGGCTTACACATGAAAGCCTCCTTTATTTAATCAATTATTGATATATTTACATGACATATACAAGGTATGTGATACGGTAAATAAATCGTAAATAAAAACCCGAGTTATTTCTTATACCGTGCCGGTAAGCCTTTTCTTGCGCGTTCCAAATCTATGAATGGAAAATATAAATATCAGTTCTTGACTATGCGTAAATATAAGTTTTATCTAGCCTATACATACCTATATTCGTTCTTCTATGATTTTTTGGTTTCACCTCGTTATCTCCAGAACCTAGTGTTGGTGGAAGATATTTTGGTAATGGCTCATCCTCGTTGCTATTATTATCCCAGCCCAAGTCGTAGTCGGCGAAAAGAGAACCAAATTTACGTTTTTGTTTAATTATGGTGTTATGGATATAAAATACGACACTGTGTCGAACTCCAGCGATGACCGGGAGATTTCCATGAACCAAAATATTTGATCGAAATGCCACTGCTTGCCCTTGTTTGGCGTGAATAATCAACTTCAATTCGGGGAATGTTAATTCTCCACCTTCGAATTTCCCAAGTGGGCAAACCACACACAGAGTGTTTCTATGATCCTTCAAATCGCGGTGAAATTGGCAAATTACATTGAAATTAACAGCGACTGTGGGAAAAACGCCAAAAGATTTGGGAACATTCGGCCCAAGATCTAGTTTCTTCATCTTGGAATATAAAGCGGGATACGTGGCTTCGATATATTTATTAACTGCCTTAGAAATCGGTTGTAATCCTTGTATTAAATCTTGAACGCATTCTTGATGTTCTTCGCAATGGGAGGACGCAGTGTTTGCTGTGGTATACGGCAGGTTGTTGCTATCTGCAAATCCACCAAAATGTTCTATCAAGTCCTTTGCAAATTGTTTTGATTGGTGTGAAGGATGGGCGAGTGTGTGTTGATAGTATTGATCCACCGCTATTCTAACATCCTCGACGGCTATTTTATTATAAAAATCGAAAAGATCCACTATGGTTTCTCCGAAAGTATTTACAAAGCATTGTGGATTAAAAATATGTTGATAATTCTTAAGATTAATTCCCCTTGCAACGATCATTGTAGATTCTTTCGCAATATAAAGTTTATCTCTCGGATGCCGTAAAAATGTTTCGTGTATATATCTTTCTAGCGATTTATCTTGAGATTCAACGTGCCGATAAATTAAATTCACTCGAAACCAGAGGTGACGGCAATGGCGACGAAGTTGTTGAATAAAGTTAGGACCAATTACGAAACACCCCCAAAGAGCGAAATTTTTCCACAATAATTTATCCGAAGATTCCACTAATGCTGAAGGATTATTATGCGAAGCATGATCTAAACTGGTATGATTAAAAACCTCTGACTCCAGCAATTCCATAAAATTTGTTGGTATTTCTGAGGAAGTTGGAATTGGTTGGATGCTTTGCGGTGGCAGGGATTTTTTGTTACCGTTAAAATTACCCTCATATAACTTCTTTTGAATTACATCTGAAAGTATATTAAGGTGATGGCTAGAAAGTGTGCTAAGATCGAGAGTGAAGGTGCCAGGTTTTTACGCTATTTTGTGGAAGCAATTTCTCGTTAAGTAATTCCCGAACAACTAATCTTTGCCATCTCTTTTCGAGAAACTTTTCCTGAAAGGTGAATAAAGGGTCCGTATAAACTGAAGATTGCTGGAGGTTGCTTGGTTTAAGATCGCCTGATAGAAAATCCTCCGAAACCCATTCAAGCGTAATATATTTTTGAATATCTTCTATGGTCATCTTGCGGGTCTCGGGTTGATTTTTATGCTATATAAAAGTAAACATTTGCCGTGTTAGACTTATAATCATAAGAGTACGTAAAAAGTCTTAGCACCTTGTACTTGCTTCGCTAAATTTCTCGTAATATAGGGTGAATACATGCAAACTATTTCTTATCTCACAGCTCAGTGATAATAAAATCGTGGAAACCCTGCGTATAATTTCTCTCCTCGCAAGTGGCGATAATAATAGTTTGTCGATTACAACCCAACGAATACCCTTTGCTTTGCAATAAAAACTTCTCGTAGGTTCTAGGCAGAAATTTATGTGTCAGACACTAGCGAAGCTATAAATAAATGCTAATCTATGAATTTCTTATAAAAGGACGAAGAAATTCTTTACCTACGAATTAAGGGATTAAAACATTTGATATTAGTGGAACTTGCAAGGCTACATAATAATTTCTCGACCCACCTTGTGACTGCCTTCGGTAAAAACATCAAATCTATTTGTTTTGTACGAGTTAAGGTATATTTTTCATTCGTTTTTATGGGAGGTTTACCCACACTCGTGTATATGCTAACGAACATTTTTTCCGGTTATAAATGCCTATACTCAACGTTTCGGATAACACCCCTTTTATGGTTCTTTCTGCATCTTTGTTTTTCTTTCTGATGACCATATTTCCAGAAAGTGCTCCTCTGTGCATGGAGATTGTTGGCACGTGAATCCAAAATTAATGGTATTATCACTGTGGAAATCGGCAGAATCAATACTGAAATTAACGATAAACTTACCGCGGAAATCGCATACATCAACACACATGATACCAAATATATCACGGAGGCGCAGAGAATTTTAACAATGATCGATAACATAACCGAGAAACTCACAATAATAATCTCGGTAGAATCGCATTCGAATTCACATCAATCTTTAGATCTGTGTGGTATTGTGGTAGTTGAAATTCTTAATCTTGGGGTGGAAAAGATACAATCAAAAATTATTATTGTTATTATTAGCAAAACAAATAATAAAGAGTAGCGGGAAGGAACTCTCATTTATTGGGTTAGGGCTCCTCCCTTTAAACTCGTTACTCTTATCCTTTTTTAATATTCTTTTTCTTAATCTGAAAGATAACTGCATTAAATATTAAAATTCTCAATAAAAATAATAATATCGGAAACTAAAAAGTACCTAGATTAAAATTGGAAAATTGAATATCTGTTGGCAACACCAGGGAAGTCGACACCACACAAGGTTTTACATGCCCACAGAAAAAGTCATTTTTGGTTTTTATAGCCATTTCGTTGACAACACCAGGGAAGTCGACACCACACAAGGTTTTACATGCCCACGAAATGTTGACTCAGAGCCATGTTGACTTAGAGTCAAAACCATGGACCATAAAAAGAGAGATTGATCAGCCGATCATTATCTCATTATTCCGATAAATTAACCGCTTATTCTGATTGGTTTGATATTTGATATAAACAAAAAACAAGTAAATCATTAGTTTTAAATGTTTATTATGGTATGTTTTCTCTTGTTGCATGTTGATTATGAAATTCAAAATATTGACCATTCCACCATATATTTGTAAGTAGAACAGTCACAGTGAAACTCTTAGGAATATTCTGACAACGAATAGTGGAGTGTGCAAGTTCTTTAAAACTTTTAGATACCCGTCTTCCCAACGTGATAGAGCAGAAAAAGATTTGAAAAAAGCGCTAGAACTCATCTCGGCAAAAAAGGACGCGTTATTGCCGAAATCAAACCTATGGCTCAGTAATTTCGATGTTATGATGTGTAGTTCGGTCGTGGAATAGTATTGGTACTCGGTTCAAATAAATGAGGAGCGCGAGAAGTGTCGTGTGATCGAAGAAATCTCTAATAGAAAGAGGTGAGCATGAAAATCTAGTATATAATATTAGTACGTGTCTTCAGTGTCTTCATTAATCAATATAAAAACTTCGAATACAGGAACAGCATTTCTTCCGTTTGAAGTCAAATATCGCTATAGAGCATGACATAGCTACCGATTCTTTTCGAACCAATATTCAGGTCAGTTACAAATTAATCCTTCTAGTATATTAATCGCTTATAACGCATGAGTTGGAAAATTGTTTAAAATTTTTTTTAATTGTTTTTATTTTGCGAATCTTCGTTTATAGGAACGGTTCAAACGTCCTTTATTATCTAAAGAACCACTCCATATATCAGATCCTAATAAGAAAGTTAGGCTAGGACTAATTCATGTCTCAATGTTTCTTACTGATATTATGTCTTTTTTAAATTATTTTTTGTAATATGGCACAGGCCAAAACAGATTTTACGTTTGATGTTTCATTTGACGAATATGTTGACTCCATCGAGACTAATGGAAATGAAATTGATGATGATTCCGAAATCATTGACGTGGAACCTTCGACAGATTGGGAATTTGACACAACAGTTCCAAGCTGGTTGAAAAAAGTAATGGAACAACATAAATTATTAACTTCACAAACTGATCCATCTAAGAGATTAGAATCAGCAAAAGAGTAAGTATTTGATAGAAGCTAATTTCTTTATCTTTATTGTGTTAGATACTAACAAAGTTCTTTCTTTAGCCCGATCTGGTGGCGGATCTTAGATTCCTCGGAGTCAAACATCGTGCCAGGCCTTCTGACAAAAGCAGATATGTCGGAGCTGATCACCGTATTTTCATCTGCCCTTAATGTTGGCCATCCCACCGATGATTGGACCATACTAGGACCTGCGACCGAGAGGTGTTTGCAGTCTCTCGCTATGGTTGGTGTGACGATTAAGCATTTTGATTCATTTATTTGGATCATCTTAATAATGTGCGTTTTTGTTCCCAGCTTGATAACGATCAACTTCGTAAGACTGGAAAAATGGTGCAACTCGAAGGAACACATGGTGCCATCCTTGAAATTCTGAAAATGGTGAAAAATGCCGAGACATCAAGCTTGAACATCTCCTTATTTGACGATGAAAATACGACCGATAAGATAAAACCTGCACTTCTTGTTGAGGAGGAAGACTACCTGAATCCTGATGTGCAGTTCATTTTGGACCTGGTTCGATTTACGTAAGTTTATTAAGTGCATGTTAATTCGGGATTTGTTATTCTGCATGTACTTCAATTGATTCCTTAACCAGGTGTGAAATGATTGCGAAGGGGATTCCCCAACGAAAAAATTCGGAGAGAGATATTGATGTGTTTATAAAACGGCATATTTTTTCATGCCTCGACAATATTCTGGACAGTCACTTGTAGGCTTCATTCATTATCATTTATATGTATTTTCATTCTCTGGTAATAATGCTTATGATTGTTCTTAAATAAGTGGAGAGATGGTTTCAAGGGCTTCTCGGGATCGCCGAGCTGAAGCAACAGATGCTCCAAAAAATACAGAGGGCTATCACTTGGATTGGATGTTCACGGTACAGTAGATTATTTGGAAGTTTTCATTCCCAATATTAGTGTTTACTAACTTAAATCAACAGAAGCATGACTTAGGAAAAGATTTACCGTATGGTCGTGAATTTTCTCTTTGTGAGCGCACGGGTTCTAAAATTGAAAATAAACGAAAGATCCTTTCGAATACTCTAAAAGTGCAGAAAACACTAAGAGACATGCATAGAGCTCTATTTGAAGCGGTATCTACTGCAGGTTGTGGGATGTTGTCAAAACCAGTATTGAGAGCTAGCACAAGAATCCATGCCTGGATTCTTGTCACATTGCTTTTTTATACGTGCCATTCTAATCGTTTATGTAGGAGGTGGATTTTATGCATCAATTAACTTGGCAGATCTCGAAATTCCAACCACATATGAGGAACTTGGGTCTATCGTTAAGATTTCGCGCATTATGCTTCAGGTCAAGGTGTATAACAATTCGGTATTAGTCCTTAAAGTATGGTTTTACACTCATCTGCCTTGTTGCTTGCAGAAATTATTGCATTTTACTGTTTCCCGGTTCAAGCTTATGAAGGACAGAGCTGTGAGGGAAAAATTCATTCCTGGAAAAGTGGCGGTGAATGCTCGATTGCAGGAGTTCCGATCACCACAGAAACAGAAAGACAGTAACCAGGTAAGATCCGTCGGAGTATAGTATTTTATTATAACATATTGACATTTGATATATGTCATTTTGATTTCATTTAGACAAAACCTAAATCCGATCTATCATGTACTGGATCATCGCCGGTGCCTATCAATAATCGACTAACATGCGACACTTGATGAAAATTCTCAAAATGAACGGTTTGCAAAAAGATTAATGTTGTGATTGGTCACCATGGGATAGAAGATAAAATAGTGATTTTCTCTTTATAGCGTAGTTAAAAAATAATAAAGCTTTTATCCACATCGGGTTTCGATCATTGTTAATAAGAATAGTGATTTTTCTATATAATTATATGAATCACACTGCGATCACGGTTGATTATTGCAGAGCAATGGCTTTCGCCTACAAATGCTATGCTAACATTACAAGTTATATGTATTCTATCCGGTACAGGAGGCTTCGATGATGTATTTATGATATAATAGTGATTAAATTTTTTTCTTGGCAAAATTTCAGCGAACCAAGTTCGCTCGAATCACGTGATTTTATCAAACTCGAACTTTTGAACATATCCACATCTTGTATAAAACAATGGAAGACGCCCAATCCACAATCAAGACATTGAGAGAATTGAATTCTGATTTTGCGATAAGAGGCGTGGAAATATTGGTGAGTAACTTGCCTTGATGTTAATCAAACATATTTATAGCGAAGCTAGTATCTTTGATACATATAATTCGTGCAAATTATTAATAGCCGATATTCTCATTAGATTTGTCGCGTGTCCGACGTGGATTAAAGGCCGAGGATCCACTTCCAAGAATTGATAAAAGGATGATCTTATTAAATTAATATGTGCGATCAGGGTATCATCAGGGAAGAAATTTGGTTAATCAGAGTAGTAATGTTGAACGTTAAATAACGATCATCACTTTTACCAAGAAAAAAATAATTATATATGTGAAAAGGTAGAATTTTGAATGAACTGGTATGGTCAATCCGTTAAATTATATATAAATACCAATGCTTGAACTTGAAATATCCATAAGTTTATTTCTCAAATTATGAACAACTGCATAAATGATATTTATATCTATATATCTCACTATAACCCAGGTTCAAAGGGACAAATTTTTAGATTCATATGAATCTCTCCCATTTTCATCATATATATCATTTGCAAAATATGACGATTATACACAACGCATCTAATAACCCAGGCCCTATGGGGCGCTCTTCAAGCATCTGCACTAAAATTGAATCATACTATTCTAGAGTATATAATTATTAGTGAAACTAGCAAGGCTAAATCAAATAGGTAGGTCTAAATATCCTAATCGATAAATATGTCTGGTTTTGATATCGCTACTATTATTGATAAAAAAGATAAAACATTTCCTAAACCATATATTAATCGTCCTGGTTTTGATATGAAGTATGCTGTATCATATATATTACATTATGGTGGAACTTATGCTAATAAACTCAATCAAATTTTCGATAATGAGAGATTATTTGATACATTATCTATCATAAAACAGAATGAAACACCGGTTCAATGGGCAATACGGGTCAGAGTACCTTTACAGAATTTATTAA